GAAATCTTCTCTTATTTTGCATGAAGGATCCTAGCGTATTGCATGCTACCATTTTATCTGGTGGGTTAATTATGTAGGGCGCTTGCTCCAAATCTTTTTCCTTTGTAAGTTTTCCTGCTCTTGGAAGACTCCTGCGTTTTTGACGTGTCCCGTCAGCACTTTTTTCTAACTAAGGTCAGTTAGTGTCTCTTCATCATTTAGCCACTGACAGGCAGGTTGTTGCAAAGGTCCTCTAGTGTAGCTGTGGGGATTATAGGGGCACCTGGCGTGCCTTCTTAGCAAACTCCGGCAATTTAAGGTTGTCACTTTCTTTGTGAAGGATGGTCCATATATATACAGTGGAGCCTCCGGTGACGAGCAGTACCATCTACGAGCATTTCAGGTAACGAGCGAGCCATTTGCAGAAATTTTGTTTAAATTGATGAGCTTCCGCTCAGTTAACGCGCTATGAGTGCGTGTGTGTTTGCCTGTGTCCGCCATTGAGTCTTGCTTCCAGGGTGTGGGTCCTCAGTCGCCTGCACCCAATCAGTGAACTGATACCGCTTGATTGACTACATTTCGCAGGACGGGTGTTTCACATGACGAGCTCGGTGCCAGGACAGATTAAACTAGGTAACTGACGTTCTACTTAAGTCATAAAACATGTTTGACAGTGCCACAAGCTTTCACTTGTTTCGGTTTTTGATTGCCATCAACGCCCAGTACTTCTTTGCCCAGTTTAATAGGACAAATGGCTTTCAAAGTGTGCTCTATCTGTGTTTGTTGTGAACTGCGATTGCACTCAAATTCGCAAATGTGTCTTTAGGTTCCTGTATTATTCCGCAGAAAGGTCGCTAGTTGATGACTCATTTGACAGTGCGCTAGGGACTTAAGCGACGCTCTCACCGACGATTCTGCGTTCTTCTCTGAACTGATAGATATTTTACTTTATTTCGCTCGCGAAAGGGAATATTATTATCTTCCCATTCTCAAATCACAGTCTGTCTTACTGTATGCTATTTGGCTTCTCGGCTTAACTGGCCGATTTGCGCTTTGCTGTTAGAAGTTTCATTGTCTTTGTAATTTCTGCCGTTGCAATCGAGTCTCCAACCCAGCAACCGACCTGTTAGGGATGCACATCGAAACGGACCCTTGCTGAAAAACCTTTATTGATTTCGAGGTCTTGCCAGTATCGTAGCTGATCATCAGGTCCGCCAAAATTGCTTTTCCTCGTCTGTCCGAATCAACATCCTTCCTTCACTTGTAGTCCTTCACTGCGTACTTTCCAATCCGGTGTTTTTGTGATTCATAACTCGAACCTGTATGTACTAACTCGTCGATAGAAATAAATAAAAACGCTGTCCACCATCTGCTATCGGCGCCTATTACACTGCCGATTCAATTCATCTGTCGTTACTGTACACAAGTTTAGTCGTGACCTTAGCTAAGTTTGCAGGCGGTTTGTCTGAGTAGAACTCATTCACACTGTTGAGGTACTCAGACACTGTGCAATATCCAGACAGTCAATCTCCTTGTTGGAAGAAAAGCATTAACTGAGGAACATTTACCGATTGCTAATGGAACTATTTCGTCTCGTTCTTCCTTGGGGCTAGTTGTTGTTGTTGTACTAGCTTACTCCCTTAACCTAGTTTGCCAGCAAT